AGGACAGCTGGTCTGGAGGTCCAGTCCTAGTAGAGCAGGAAGCCAGCTGGTCTGGAGGGTCAGGTCCAGTCTTGGTAGACCAGGAGGTTCCTAGTTGGAGCCCCAGCTCTGCCCCTTACTCCCTGTGTTCCCCGTGAGCGAGAGACCGTCCCTCTGGTGAGACTCCAGACCAGGTCCTACTGTCTGAGACTCTGCAGCAGCAGAGGCTCCTGTCCTCAGCAGCGCGAGCCGCTAGCGGCTAACGGGTCTCCCTCTCTCTCCTCCCCCCAGGCTGAGACAGCCGCCAACAGGATCTGCAAGGTGCTGGCCGTGAACCAGGAGAACGAGAAGCTGATGGAGGAGTACGAGAAGCTGGCCAGCGAGGTAAAGGACACCGGCGGCGGTCCACGGCCCTTCCCTGGGCCTCTGTCCCCACCCCCCGGACACATCGGCCCTCTCTCAGATTGGGGTGGGCGCCACCATTCTAAATTCCTAAGCAAGAAGAAATTCTTGTTCCCCGCGCTGTGCCATCTCCTCTTGAGCCTTAGAATGGGGCGGAGCGGTGTCTCAGTGGCTCAGGATCTGCGCCTGTGACTGGAAGGTTGCCGGTTCAAATCCCGCGCCCAGCAGAGGAATCCTACTCCGTTGGGCCCCTGAGCAAGGCCCTTCACCCCAACTGCTCCAGGGGCGCCGTACAATGGCAGACCCTGTGCTCTGACCCCCAGCTTCTCTTCTTGCCTGTGTGTCTGTGTCTCCATGGAGAAAAGCTGGGGTAGGCGAAAAGACAAATTCCTAATGCAAGAAATTGTATAGGGCTAATAAAGAAACATTGCATTACAAATGGCAGTGGCTCTGCCAGTACGTGTTGGGCTGGCCTGCTCCCTGCTCTGGGGTTGGCCAAACTGGAGAGCGCAGGGCCAATTTCGCCCGCTCTGATTGGCTGGGACGTGGCCCACCTGGCCTCGCCCCTCAGAGAGGCTCCGCCCCCTACCTGATGGCTGCATGTCGTAGTGCGTGCACCAGTCCCTTCTCCCTGGACCCCTCCTCCTCCTCCTCCTCCTCCCGCTGGGGGTCTCCGTCCCCCTGATGGCTGTTCTGCTTGCAGCTCCTGGAGTGGATCCGCCGCACCATCCCCTGGCTGGAGAACCGCGTGGCGGAGCAGACCATGCGCGCCATGCAGCAGAAGCTGGAGGACTTCCGGGACTACCGCCGCGTCCACAAGCCGCCCCGCGTGCAGGAGAAGTGCCAGCTGGAGATCAACTTCAACACCCTGCAGACCAAGCTGCGCCTCAGCAACCGGCCCGCCTTCATGCCCTCGGAGGGCAAGATGGTCTCGGTACGCCTCCCCGGGCCGCCCATCACCTCTGACCTGTGTGCCCCACACGTCTGACCCACCTGATGGACCTCTGACCTGTGTGCCCCACGCCTGACCCACCTGATTGACGTCTGACCTCAGTGACTAACACCTGCCTCACCTGATTCCTCCCTGACCTCTGTGACTCACTCCTGACCCACCTGATTGACGTCTGACCTCTGATTCACTCCTGACACAGCTCTGACCTGTGTGCCCCACTCCTGACCCACCTGGTTGACCTCTGACCTCAGTGACTCACACCTGACCCATCTGATTGACGTCTGACCTCAGCGACTAACACCTGCCTCACCTGATTCCTC